TTGATTAATATTGGTTACTAAATTCCTACAAGAGCAAACCCCTACATTTAATTATATCTAAGGATATCAACTCTCTTAAGAAAAATTTCGATTTAGGCTAGGGTTGTATCTTCAAGAATTTCATGGTTTGGCTTCCATAATTATTTATTTGAATTTTCAAAGAAGAAAAGATCAATATGGAACAACTCTTTTCGAAACTCAAAGGAAAAAAAAATAGGAAATGCTGAGATACTGAGAGGCTTAATGACACTTCAACTATCATATTATTTGGCTTTATTGATTTTGAGACTGCAAAGATTTTGTGTTCGAGTTGACATCTTATTAGGAAACTAAGACTTATATCTCAAGATATTTGATTGTAAGAAAGCCTCAGAAGTGAGGGCTTATGTCGTAACTAGACAAATAACCTCAGAATCCTAAGATTAAGATGAAGTATATGAAATAAACAGAACATTGAAGCCTAGTTTAATAAGGAAAAATGTGATAAATAGGGATTTATATAGGACAATCCTATAAAGGACCAAGTAAGCCCAACTCGATTAGACTTAATGGCATGCCAATATGGGGCTTCTAACTAAACACACTTAACATAGTAAAATTGTGCATGACCGATCTCATGAAATATATGATAAGATGTGCTATTATTTATTAGAAGATGATATGTCTTATAACTTGAATATAAAATCAACATGTCTATTATATGACTGGTATGCATTGTTCTAAGACTTATACAAAAATATCCTTTTTTTATAATTTCAAATTTATAAAGTTTTATACTCAACACTCTCATATTTTATTGAGTGGACTTTTAATATTGAGTGATGAAATAGGTTGTATGTAAGTATGCAGTCTTTAATAATGCATGCATTGATGATCAATTTATAGACCAAGTCAATATGTGAAGGCAAACTTACTCTAAAATGTAGTAATCTTTAAAAGACAAATTATTCTTTTTTTGTGCAATGAGTGAAAACTTGAAGACAATAAATATAATTAATATGTATGCATATGCTAAAGTGGCTCTTTTGATGGCTATTCCTACATCGAAGAGTTACTAATTATTTTTTCTTTTATTTTATTTTTTATTTAAATGTAATGATGTTTGTATGGTGTGAATGCAATATTTTATTAATTTTGTTATAAATTTTGATTTTTGAAAAATTAAATTTGAATTGTTTAAGTTATGGTAATGAATTGGTCCTTAAAAAGTCCAAAGAATAATCTTGGATAAATGTAAACCATCACAAACTGTTGTAAAAAACGACGACAATAAAGCAAAAAATGGAATGAGAAAAAATTGCACGAAAAAAAAAGACACCAGAGCGACACATAGATTTACATAGTTCGGCAAATTTGCCTACGTCCACGGAGCTGCAGAGGATTTATTTCTTCGAGGAATTACACGGTCGAGCGCCTCGACGTTTACAAGAAAATTTTTATTTTCTTCTCTCCCTTCCTCTCTCTCTCTCTCTTCCTCTCTTTCTCTTAGCTCTCAAGATGACTTGCTTAGTCTTGCTTGGCTTGCTTTTCCTTTAAACCAAAAGAGACTATTTATAAAAACCATAAGAGCAGTAGGTGGGAGGTAGGTGAGAGGTAGGTGGGATGTGATAGGTAAGCGGTAGGTGGGTGTGGTAGGTGAGCTGTAGGTGGGATACTTAATTAGGAAGCTAATTAAATTCGGTGGACCGGGTCTCCACATTATCCAACAATTCTCCCACTTGGAGACTAGGACACTGAATGCATCATCTACTGGTTGCATCATCTACTAGCTATACCAATCTCTTACTCAAACATAATATCTTCCACCTCTGCAACTCAAAGCCCTTGTCTTCATGCCAGAAGACCAGCTGAAGTCGAGCACAACTTCAATTTCTCATGAGTAACACCCTCAGTTGATGTATCACCGTCAACGTAGTCTTGTACCACCAAGCTCTTTCCTGAGTTACTCTTGTATCTGCTTACAACTCCCACTGCATGATCAATATCCTGCCCCTGCTGAAAGCCCTTTTCAACAAGTTCAGCCGTCTACCTCTTATTGCCATTGAGTGCAGTCTTCACCTGGTACACCCACTTATTGTGCAACGCCTTCTTCCTTGGTGGAAGTTCTGCTAGCTCCCAAGTCTGATTCCCTGACAGAGAATTTGTTTCCCCCTTCTTGGTCAGCTCTCACTTGCTTGAATTCTCATATTGCAAGATTTTTTCATAACTTTGTGGTTCTCCACCATTTTTCTATTCAAAGACCAGTTTTCCTGCCTTTGGCGCTTTGCCACTTTTCAAGAAATGGACCTTCTTCTGCTTCCACATAATGCACCTCTGACTCATGTGTCCACGCTTGAGCAAACCTGTAGTCATATATAGTGTGTCAGTTTTTTTACCCCGAGTCATTACTAATGCTTCTTTGGTAACCTTCCAGGTGATATCTGAGAACACCACTGAATGACCACCCTCATTGAACTGCCCAATAGAGATGAGGTTTTTCTTCAACTCAGGAATGTGTTTGACCTTTTGCAATTTCTGTTTGCTCTTATTAGGGAGTGAAATATCAACATCTCCCATCTCCACCATGTCTAGAGCTTTTCCATCAGTCAGATGTACCTTCCCAAAGTTACCTGCAAAATAATTTCGCATTAACTCCCGACGGGAAGATGTATGGAAGGAAGCTCATGAATCCAGTATCTAGTCATCAACAGAACTGTAAACTGCCAGAAATAGTGCATCCTATATTTCTTCAATTACAACATTAGCGTCATCTTTCTCCTTCTTCTTAGGATTCCTACAGTTCCTTTTTATGTGGCCAGCCTTGCCATAATCCCAACAGGTTGCCTACTGATCAGACTTTGATTTTTGATCTTCCTCTGTTTGAGTTCCTGTCATGTGATCTCCCTCTGGAATCAACATTCAGTGCCGAACTTGAACACAAGGTCTCGCCAAAATCTTTCCTGCCCACCTCCTCAACAAAAATCAAATCACGAATATCATCATATTTCAGCTTAGATTTACCTGCAGAACTGCTAACTGCCATCTTCATGGCTTCTCAGCTATTTGACAATGATGCCAACAATATCAGTTTACGTATCTCATCATCAAAATCAATTTCAACAGACGACGACTGATTTATGATAGTGTTGAAATCATTCAGGTGTTGAGCAACAGACACACTTTCCATCATCTTCAAGTTGAATAACTTTTTTATCAGATGCACCTTGTTATTCGCTGATGGCTTTTCAAACATACCTGATAAAGCCGCCATGAGATCTACAGTAGTCCTCTCCTTGATGATGTTGTGGGCAACCAATCTCGATAGAGTTAATCGTATAACCCCCAGAACTTATCAATCCAACATATTTCATTCCGCCTCGTCCATCTTTTCTAGTCGTTTTCCCAGTAACGGAAGATAAAGTTTCTTCCCATAGAGGTAGTCATCTATCTGCATCCTCTAGTAAACAAAATCTGTGACATTGAACTTCTCGATCTTCGATGTCATCACTTCTTCTCTGCCCATCATTCTTCTTTATATTCGAACCAAATCTCTGATACTAATTGTTGTGAAAAATGACGACTATAAAACGAAAAATGGAATGAGAAAAAATTGCACGCAGAAAAAAAACACCAGAGCGACACACAGATTTACGTGGTTCGACAAATTTGTCTACGTCCACGGAGCTACAGAGAATTTATTTCTTTGAGGAATTACACCGTCGAGCGCCTCGACGTTTACAAGAAAATCTCTATTTTCTTTTCTCTCCTTCTTCTCTCCCTTCCTCTCTCTCTCTCTTCCTCTATTTCTCTTAGCTCTCAAGATGACTTGGTTTGGTCTTGTTTGGCTTGCATGACTTGTTTTTCCTTTAAACTAAAAGAGATTATTTATAGAAACCGTAAGAGCGGTCGGTGGGATGTGGTAGGTGAGCGGTAGGTGGGTGTGGTAGGTGAGCAGTAGGTGGGTGTGGTAGGTGAGATACTTAATTAGGAAACTAATTAAATTCGGTGGACCGGGTCTCTACATTAACAAACCTAAAAAAATAGATAAAAATTATGATGACACAATATATAAACATAAAAGACAATCAAAAGTACATATCATTCATTAAAAAATAAACATTGTAATAAGTCTTAGACCTAAGGTAGACTAATAGATCAATTAGGTTATGTGGACATCCTTATTCATGCTTTGGATTTTTTTTTTTGGATTCATCCTTATTTTTCATTACTCGTTGTTTATCCTTTTATTGTAATTCATTTGTAGTTCATCCTTTGTTATACGTCCTTTTATTGTTTATCCTTTCTTGTTTGTCGTTTGGATATATGTAAATGACCAACTAAAAAATACATCCTAACTCTATGTCAGGCTCGGTAGAAAATTAGGCCTACATTTAATACATTTTTTTTATGTTTTCAGCATAGGTTGTGTGGTATGTAAGTGAAAAATAAAGTAGGTGATTGACTTTTATTTGAGTCGTAGGTAGGGCTGTCAAAACGGCTCGTTGTTCTCGAACAACTCGTGCTCGGCTCATTAAAAAGCTCGTGCTCTGCTCTTTCGCTAAGTTAACGAGCTGGACACAAGCAAAGATTTATATTGATGAGTTGTATTTAAAAAAAAAATTAATTGATTACACTACAAAGATTGATAATCAATTAAAAATATTAATTAAGAAAACAAAATAAAAATTATTAAATTAGATTCAAAAAATGTTTTAATATAAATAATAATTTTTAAATCTTGCATCAATCTTTAACATCTTATGGCTACGTGATTAGGATTGTGAAAACGACTATTTGTTGGTGAACGGCTCCCGGTTCGCCCCCCAAGAGCCGAACATGAACACACTTTTTGAGCTTGAAATATAAACGAGCCGAACACGAGCTGAGGCTCGCTTACACCCCTAGTCTTAGGTAACTTGATCTCCTTTTTAATAAACAATAAAATATTTTTAAATAATTTATTTGTAAATTAATTATACTAATTGAATAAAAAATAAACAATATGACAATGCAAAGTAGCTTACCACCTCCGGCCGCCTGGTCTTCTCCTTTCCCTCTCAAGCGATAAGTTACCCGGCCGGCGCAGCCTACCCTATCGTGTTTCTTCTTCTTCAACTCATTGACGTTGTTCCTTTCCGTCTCGTCCGTCGTTTCTTCCTCCTTGCGAGTCTTCGTGCCCGCTCCTCGTTTGGACTTCTTTTCTCGCTGAAGCATTGATCTCCTTTTTAAAGGATCTTTCTTCAAATAAAAGAGTGAACAAACTAGATGATTAGGACTAGGAATAACGGAGGTGGTGGCGACAAGAGACTTACTACAAGATGGATCTTCTTACTTTGCTTTGCGTTCTTCGGCCTTGGAATGCTGTTCTCGAATCGGTTGGTTATGATTCTTAATTTGGCTTCTTTCGAGCAATGGAGCTGGCGATTTGATCTATATCGTTGTCGATTTTTGTTTTCTTTTCATTTTTTATGGGCATGTTCTTGTTCTGGGTTGTGTTGTGTGATTTAGCTTTTGGGTTTGGTAGGTTTTGGTCTGTCCCAGATTCAAACGGGGAAATCATCTCGCAGCGGCGGCAGGAACAGGAACTGCAGGCTGTCTCGGAGGATTGCATAACCAAAAGGGTCCGTCTATGCATTCGATGATATTCCTATAGCTCGGAGTGAGTTCTATTTCGTTTAACCATGTTTTTGTCTGTCTATAGAAGCTTGGGCAAGACAAGGATGTAATGGGAGAAGTCACGAGGACCCATGAAGCCATACAGTGAGTGGATGATTTTCTTGCTCTCAATCCCTAAATGCATTTGTTAGGCCTTTGTTGATTTTTAGCTTTGGGTTTATTTGATATCTCATGTCTCTAAATTTGATTGTCGTCAGATCTTTGGATAAAACAATATCAGCACTCCAGATGGAGCTGACTGCAGCAAGGAGCTCCCATGAGCTGACTGGTTCGGAGGGTTCTCCAAGCATTAAAACCTCCAGTCAGCAGAGAAAGAAGGCTTTTGTTGTTATGGGCATTAATACAGCATTTAGCAGCAGGAAGAGGCGGGACTCTGTTAGAGAGACATGGATGCCTCAAGGTACTCTTTGAATCCTTTTTCCTAATTAATGCATTCCATTTACTGTAAACTTCATATATTCCCCTTGATCATTATTTTAAGCTGCACAAGTTGCTATAAAGTGAACACAACTAGTTCTACATTGGCAGCCAATTTGTCTTTTATATTTTTATTTTTTTTTCCTCTTAAAAGATTACAGTAGCAGATGTTTTTTTGATAAATTGTATGCCTTTCAAATATGCTCTGTTTTCTCAGTGAAATGAATGATGTATTCTGAATTTCTATATCAATCTTGTAAACTCTGGTCGTGCACTATTGCAGAATTATTGTGGCCCATTTTTCATAACATATTAGCCTGATTGGCATTGGTATTAACTCATAAATCTTCAAAGAACTGCACTATATTTTTTGTTTATTTGATATTGTGAAAGCATTATCCAGCTGAAATGCTTTACTTTATGTAATTTGTCCTCAAAATGCCATGGGTTTGATTTCCTTTTGAATAAGAGTTATCCCCATTTGTGCTGTTTTGTTTAAGTTTTTCACTAGGACAGAACAAAGGATGTTTTGCTTGAGTTTTTAAATCTTAAAATGGAGGTGCTCGCTTACAGCTTTAAGATCTTTCTTTTGAGCTGTTTGACCTTCACGTTGGGTATGTGTAATAAGTGGCCGTTAAAATTAAAATTTCTTTTGAATGTTGGGTTTGTCTGGTCTTCTCAAACTCAATAACTTCATATTTTTCCAGTTCTAATTGTTTTTGGTTTATAAGCACCTGAAAAATAGTGTAAGCCTGAGCAACACTCAAGAGTCTTGACCAACAAATGCATCACATTCTTGTTAAAGTTGTTTGACTTAGTTGCTTCATATTTTTTATTTTGCCTGAAAATGGAGGTGATGTTATCCTGTAACAATTTTGAAATTTATTACTTGATTATGTTGATCAATCTAGCACCTCTAATGGGTGTTTAAATTAATTGGTAAGTTCTTCTTTCTTCTTGTTAAAAAAAATAGTCCATGTAATCATAGTAATAAATGGATCAATTCAATATTTCGCAACTCCATAGATTATATATGCATCACATTCTTGTTAAAGTTGTTTGACTTAGTTGCTTCATATTTTTTATTTTGCCTGAAAATGGAGGTGATGTTATCCTGTAACATTTTTGAAATTTATTACTTGATTATGTTGATCAATCTAGCACCTCTAATGGGTGTTTAAATCAATTGGTAAGTTCTTTTTTCTTCTTGTTAAAAAAATAGTCCATGTAAACATAGTAATAAATGGATCGATTCAATACTTCGCAACTCCATAGATTATATATGCACCTTTCAAGGCCTTCATTCTTTTTGTGTTTCACCTAATGTCCAAATTTCTCTCTTTAAGAGTAGTTGATGAAGTCAATAAGATGTACTATTTCTTGTGTTCTCTGATTTCAGCATTTTCTTATTTCATTTTTACATGAATATAATGAAAAATATTATGTTAATTTAGGTGAGAAGCTTCAGCAACTGGAGCGTGAGAAGGGTATTGTCATTCGGTTTATGATTGGTCATAGGTACTTCATTCTGCTTACTCTGCTTAACATGTTGGTTTTTGTAACTCTATAAGACCAGTGATATAACTTTCATATTTTTCATTGCTGTCGCTATTGTCCACTAAATTCTGACCTTCATTTGTTTTTTTTTTATTAAAATAAATGTCAAGGCAAGATAATTTCTCTATATTGCTACTTTCATACTAGTGTTAACTTGATAGATTCTTCGACTGATACTATATGCATTCTATACCACATTTTTATAGTCAGACTAATAAAATATGTCCAGGCAATTTTGTTCTTATTGAATTTCTTTGAGAATCTTATATTATTAGTGTTTGCCTGTTGTTTCAATTGAACTCACTCCCAACTTTTAATGAATAGCTAATGCAATTGTTTTTAAGATACTGCGAGAGGCCAGCTGGTACAACCCTTAATTGAGCTTAAGCATTTGCAATTTCAAAGGGTGTGCCTTTTTTTTTGCCCGTGAAAATATATACATATATATATATATATATATATTCCTCAATAAATTAAAGCATACTGTCATAGTCTATCCCCCC